ACTTGCAACGTGTGTAAGCGCACGATAACACAAAGAGGCTAAGATGCCTATGTGAATCTCCAGAAAAGAGAAAATGAGACAAGCCTGCATTTACAAAGCCCGCTCTAGGGTGGAAACCCTTTTTTTTTTTAAAGCGGGGACTGTTTTACAGCCTTTGGACATATAATCCCAAACAGTACGTGCAGAGCTCAGGACTCCCACACTGTGGACCCGTGAAGTCTGGAAAAAGATAGAGATAGCACCATGGCTTGGCTTCAGCATTCCAGGCAGAGTGGTTTATTTTTGTTGGAAACATAACTGTCTGTGGCTAGAAAATTGGACGTACATTTTACCCGCCAAACTGCCAGGAAGTTTACACGCGGTTGTTACCACCCTCTTGTGGTGACCTAATGAATTAGCTTTTTTTTTTTAAAGAAAACACGCAAAAAAGGAGGGGAGAGGTGTTTTCTTCTTCCAGGGTGTTGACACTAAGCAAATGTGCTAAACTTTCACAAAGTCTGGCTGCATGGAATTAAATAGAAGCTCTCATGGAAAACTGCAATTATTTCTCTATCTATTTATATCTGTATACCCCTCCCTATATATGTGCCTGCATATATAGAAAGTTAGATAAATAGAATGTAGTCTATACAATGATCTCTTGAAATAAGATCAAATTGGTGAAATGCTGCACTAAAAAGATAAAAACAATAGCTTGCGATGGGAAATAGAAGTAATAAGAGCTAAAAATGAATGCTTACTGGGCCAAAATTGGATGCCACATTTTTATGGACGGGTACATGAGTTATGAATTTGACACACATTCATTATGTCAAATTAAAACACGATAATATATGTGTTACCGTTTAGGAAAGACACATTTTCTTTTTCACTTCGTGGTGGGTAAAAAAGACTAAATAATTAGGCCCGGACCTTTCTCTGACCTGGGGATTAACTTGGTCGGTTGTTTATTCCGGGGAAAATTTACAACCCTCCCGAATGTTTCCCTATTGTGAATAATCATTCTCCCTGTAGAACGAAGAACTCCAAACTGTTTTGAATGGCCTTCTAAACTCTCTCAGATTTGTGGGCAGCAACAACCTCTTCTCCAAAACCTGGACGGTGTGGACCAGCAAACTGACAAAACTGCCTTGTGGAGATGCTAAAATCTTCTAGAAATCACTTAATCAAGAGTCTTTGATTATCAATACTCTTACTCTTATAATCATGGAAGTAGAACGGCCAGAATCAGCTGAAGATGTGATTTATTTGAACTTTTTGACCACATAGGCCTTTTGTTATATGTCATTTGGATTCAGTTAGCCAACAAAGGTTAAAACAACTATAAGACACAACTCTGCTGTCTTTTTCATCATGGAAATTATGTTAATTGTGCCATCTGAGTACTTCTTTAGTAAAACAAAGTTCACTTTTCAAACATGAATTTGGGAAAAGGGAGAAATAGGGATTTCCATTGTTCAAATGAGCTTTAACTTGGTTTTCAGCATGTGGTTGGCTGCCGGTGGCCACATCCACCTGAAAACAGGCGTGGGAAAAGGTGATAAGAGTGCAGATGTTTCTATGACTTCCAGTGATATCAGATGTGGAAGAGACTATGTATTTTAAAGCCAGGAGCCTTTGTAAGGACTTGGTGAAATCAAGAACAGACAAACGATGTGATTTCTGCTGCAAGCTACATTCGGATGCATAAAATGGCAAAGCCAGAAGCCCAGCCACAGATAACAATGTTTTAACACAAAATTTGAAAAGAAAGGTAAAGCAGTTCAGCTCAGGTGACTGAAACGTCCCCCTGTGAATGTTCTATGGTCTTGTCCAGACAAGAACCCGGGCAGGTGGGTTTAAGGGTTACAGATAGTTGCTCACATTTCAAGAAAAAGCACCAAAGGATACAAGTACATTTTTAAAAATGCAGGGTTTTTTGGTCCTCGTTTTAGCACTAACTGTTAAAGTATTTGCAGATAATGACAGTGTGGTGGAGGAGAAGATGCTGATAGCCCGAGGTAAACTAATGGTGAGTCCAGACATCTGTCCAGAGCCGATAATCTCCAAATGTCACCCTTGATGGTTTGTTATGTCCTCAGGATATAATTGAGAGACTGTGTGAAAGTATATATGTAGGAACGTATATATAGAGAGGCAGACACAACAAACAGCAAAGGACTGGACGTCCAATATCTTACTTTGCATTTGATTTCTGACACTTCTGATCATTTAAAAAGAGAAATAACTTACACACACACAATGCAGTTACAAAAAAACGGTCTATTTTTTCCCCCCACAGGCTCCCAGTGTTGTCGGATGAGGCATAAAGAAAATGCCCGAGCTCCATCACTTTCTGCTGGAGCGCTGGGCTTTATAGTATCCTTGTGATCATGTCGTGTTGATGAGAACTGACCCATCTACAAAAATGTCTCAAAACTGATTTTTAAAAACAACGCCGTGCTTCTGTCAAGTTGCCAAAACAAGTGCCAGCTTTGTGAGCTTTCCAAGACTCTGGTCTCTCGAGTTGAAATCATTTTTTTGTCTAAGAATAAGCCAAACATATGGTTATATTTCACTCCTCGCTCCATTGCCTGTCAGTTGTTCCCCTTGATCTGCATCTCTCCCGAACAGCCACAACTTGGAATATGACTCGTCTGAGGAGAAGAACCCACGTCTAATTTTCTACGATGAGAAGGACGAAGTCGTGAAGGTGAGCTGGGAACTTGGGCGTCTTTTCACTCATCTGCCTTCTGATGGAATTTCAAAGCCGAGAGACTTAAAGTAAAGTTTTTAAGATCACCACGGCAGCTGAATTCTGATCCTCTGACAGATGCAACCTAGCACGGGCCTTAAAGAAGCAAGATAAAGCATTTCAATGAGGATTTCTGAGAGCAGAGACGTGTTTTCTCGCTGATTCATCGCAGTTGATGCGACTGCCGATACAATTTGGAACGGCGTCTGGCCTGAAATTGCTGCTCTCTGCAGCTGCCGCAAAGCTCCTCTACTTGTTATTATCCCAGTATGAAGCAATAAAACTCCACCGAACCCCTTTATTATGAATTTCTTTAGTGATGGCCCTAAATCCACCAAAAAAACCCAACTGTTTTTCTGGATAAATAAGCCCTTCTCCCATTACGCTGCTGCTGTGAATGGAGTTTTAACCTTTGTTTTTTTGCTATATTTCCTAGTTTTGGAGATGTAAGGCCTTTTAAAACTAGAGTTACGTACAAAATGCTGCATGTCCGTGGTCCATTACAGAATCCCAGCATTCCTGAACTGGGTAACGATTACAAAACGCCTGTTCTCTTGTGTGTGTGTGTGTGTGTGCTTTCTGAAACATCAGACCGTCCCCGTGAAGGAAATGAAGGCGGACGAGATCAGCAGCCTGCTGGACTCGCTCGGTTTCTACAAGAGGTCCCAGAAAGGGGAAGAGGTGCCAGAGGAGTTCCAGCAGTTCCCCCTGCACGCCCCCCGGGACGAGCTCTGACGACACCTCGTGGCCATTTTCTGCCTCTGCAGGTCCATCGCATTAGTGACGAATGGCGCTCAAAGGCCCGAAAATTACGATGCCCGGCGCCATTCTGAAGCCTCGCCGATGGACTGCAGCGTTTTGGGGTGTTAGTCATTTATCCGCCACTTTGTTTACTTTCTACGTTTGAATAAAGAACCTTGAGAAAATCGTGGGGATCTGTGAAGTTTGACGTGCCTGTTCGGCCTCAATTTGCTTGGAATTGTTTTGGTGTTTTTTCTCTTTAAGCAAAAGACAACACAGATAAAACATGAACACAAATTCATATTTCATCACAACACAGATCAAACATGAACACAAATTCATATTTCATCTTTTATCCCCGTCTTATCTCTAAACACTTTGCCAAGAGGCAGATTCCTCATGCATCAGCTTGCCTGAAAATATTAAACAATGTAATAGCATCCAGCAATTCAAAAAACAATATAAGAAAAGTATTTTTTGATGAATACAAAAAAAGAATAATACACAAAAAGTTATACTGTTTGTCTTACTGTAATCGTCCTTTACCACCACGACTCATGTAACTGAGGGGTGGGGCTTAATAAGCTTAGGCTTCATCCTGCTCCTTTTTTCAAACATGATGCATGTTTAGGAAGCATTCTATGTAAACATTGTCAAATCATGTCATGTTTCAAAATAAACTAAATGAATGCACAGTCTCTGACTGACATACGGCCATTGGAACCTAATCCTCTGCCCGCCTCCCCTAACAATAATCTGATTAGCCCTAGAGTGTCTGCCAGCATGTATCCGTGTGTATCTACTAGTCCATGTGCACCTGTGCTTTGACTGAAGGAGGACAGGGATTAGAAACAGGCACCGAGACACAAACCGGTCTTTTCGGGCCATCGCGCCTCCTCAATTCTTGACCCGGTCATGATGGTCTGCTCCTATCGGGATGCCTGTGTTTTACTCGCCTGTTCCGGAGAACCTGCAGATGGGCCTGGCCTACATGGGAGGCTCCGTGTTCACAAACAACAGGACGGCGGACAGCGACTACAGCAGGGAGCAGGAGGATGCATCGGGTCTGTAAGACTTTTTTGGTGTATCACAACTTAACATCGCAGAATGCGTTTTCCATGAATTGAAGTAGAATATAGAACATATACAGGACTGTCTCAGAATATTAGAATATTGTGATAAAGTTCCTTATTTTCTGTAATGCAATTAAAAAACATGAAATGTCATACATTCTG